CCCAAATTTTTTCCCGGGGAACCCAAATTAAACCCCAAATTAAAAAAAGGGTAGAAATTCTAAATTAAGAAAACTAAAGTTTTTTTTAAACCAAACCCTTCTATAAACTTTCCCCTTTGGGCAGGGGTTTAAACCCTTTTCCCTTTGAATTGGGGGTCTGGGGGGGAATCCCAGGGCGAAGGGGAAGAAAATTTTTTTTGTCTTGACCATTTTTAAATTTTGGAAAAAGCCCCGAAAATGCAAGGATAAAGTGTGGGAATTTTTTAAAAAAAAATTTAAAAAAATGAAACAAAAGCAATACCCCAAAACCCTCTATTTATTTAAAATCAAATGTTTAAAACTCCCAAACCCCGTGCTGAAATCGGTGCCCCCCAAGAAATTTCCCTAAAAAAATAAAACATACCCTTTATACTTAAAAATTTCTACAGAACCCAAACTTGCAAAGATTTAAAAAAAAACCACAGACCTTTCGCCCTTTTATTTACATAGGTTTTTATTAAAAAAAATTTTTTTCTATAGATATGCTGTGTTTTACCAAAAAACTTTTTTAACCCTTTCTTTTTCCCTACATCATTAAAAAAATTTTCTAAAATTTTTTTTAAAAATTTCATGGGGTAAAAATTTCATATTAAAAAAAAAACAATTTATTTTTTAGACCCGAGTTAACCAATTTTCTAGGATTATAATTTTAAAAAGACAAAATATAAACCACCCCCCGTTTTAAAGGAAACATTTAAATGCTTTAAAATTTAATTTCATTAAAAATAAATTTTATTAAAATTTTTAAATGCTTATTTTGATACTTTGGGGTCATGGAATTTCCCCGTCCAAACGGGTTTTATTGCACACCCTTTTTCTAGATTAATTTTTGCAATGTTCGTATTACTTTAAAACTTTTATTATCAAAATTTGGGTGCCAAACCAATTTCAATCAATTTTTACCCGGGTTTAAAAAAACATAACTGATTTGCTTAAAGTCACGAAAATTTAAAATATAAATGTATTTAAAATAAAAAAACTAGAAAAAACAATTTTAATTTATAATGGGTTTTTTTTCGATAAAAATTTTAATACTTATTTTAAAAATTTTCCCCATATAAGCGGGTTTGAAGGCTTTTTTTCCCCCCCCCCCTTTTAGGCCCAAAAAGTGAAAAAAATGCCCTAATTAGACCCCAAACACTGTTTCCGTTTGAGAAATGTTGTTAAAAAAAGTGACCACTTTTTCGGCGCCGTTAACCCCATCCAAATATTTACATCAGGGGTTGCCAGAAGGGGGATGTGCCCCCTTCTGTGTGGGGGGTTTGAAGGGGGGCGAAGTCCCCCTCATCGCCAAGAAAATTTTGGACATGTGACAGGCTAAAAATGGCCTCAGGTCGATCTTAGGGTAACTAGTAACCGACGCTGAAAAGCCTTTTACTCTATCTCAATTCATTGAGAAGTTGTCGCACTTTGAAATCAGTTTTGATGGAAAAAAAAAACAATGCAAAATAGTGATTTTTGGCAATTTGAGACGTCCCCCCGTTGCCATGGTAACAGGAAATTTACCATTGAGCATGCTGTTACAGAGGCTATGGTGTAGTCAACATTTGTGCCAAGTTTCATTAGTATTGAAGCATTTTTCATAGTTTCATAGCAGTATGAACTTGTTACAGGAGGCTTTTCAATTAAAGCGGCCATTTTTGGCAATATGCTCATGGGGTAAAAGGTTAAAACATTTTAAAGATCCTGTAACTCAATTTTGTTATGGTTTATATCATAAATATGATGCTCAAATGAAGATTTATCAACACTGTTAGTTCCAAAAAGCATTATTTGTAAAGCTATTATCGAATTTAAATTTCATGTAAAATGGGAGGTAATTTGAATTATATATTTTCTATAAAGTTATAGCCAAAATGTTCAATAAGAAATGAATGCATTGATTTTAATGATTACATATAATGCGTTTAACATTTGCAGTACATATTTAACAAATTCTTGGATGTTTGAATAATATACTCGTATAAAACGTATTGTTATATCCTAAATTACAGCACACAGGATCTTTCATACATTCATACACCGTTCTTATTTACGATAAACAGACTTGAAATATCATTAAACATTACTGATAATACATTAATAGAGCAAATCATATCAATTAATATGTGATTGTAATTACAATTTAATCATCAAAAGAAAAACACACACAAAAAAAACAACAACAACAACAAAAAAAAAAAACAAAAAACAAAACAAACAAACAAAGAAAAAAAAACACTAAAGATTCTATTCATATTATTTATAGATCTAGAAAAAAGCAAGTTACTATATAATATAAATTTTAATGATTATGCAAGTAAATACTTTACTAAAAAGTAAAAAAAATGTTCTACTTAAAACAGATATTACGTAACTGTGCATCTGTTTAAAGGGATATTCAGTCAAATGAGTCGCAAAAAATCAAATTTATCATAATTACTCAAATCAGCTTAAAATGAAGTTTTTAAAAGTAGAATTTTTTTTTTCTGTATAAATACTATAAAATGTAAGTTTGAAACGTATATAATTCTACATATGTTGAACGACATGAAAACGCAGACAGAATCAACGAGTAGTTTAAAACAAGTCATTTCACAATAACAAACCCTGGAAAATAAAAAACAGATATTGTGGATATGGTAAGATTGAACGAAGTGTAAATCGCTCATTTGACAGGTTCTTTTACGTTTCCATACTTCACTCTGATAACTATCATGAAATCTTTATGCTCCAACCTGAGGTTAGGAAACCAACATTTTTTTTTGTGGAGACAATTTTTGTTCCCTAAACTGCTGAGTGTATTCATTTCTACGACATTTACAGAAAATTGGATGAAAAATTCAAATCAAAGATATGAACAATTTTGTCTGTGTTTCATTTTAAGATCGTAAACGTATCAAATGCAAAATGGAAAACCACTTTAAGAAGAATTCACGGTTATCTTTCTCTGTTATACTGAAGGTATTCTGCAATATAAACGGTGTTCTTGCCAATGAATCACCTTGCTTAAAATAATCGAAATAGCAAGATGAGCCTCTCGGTTTGACACCACAATTCATAACATTGAACCCATGTTTAGTATTTTGCTCTTATGTGGCTTTCCGTAAAAGTTTTTAACGAGCATCAAGTAAGGTACTCCTTCCTTATTTGTTTTGCAAAGGAATGGGATATATTAATATTCTTTAACGGTAACCAGTAGTTTATTCTTCTAACATTGTATTAACCCTATTTTTGCAAAATTTATTAAACCTATGTAATATAATCCACTTACTGGTACTGGTAGTTACTAGTAGTTAAAAATATGAATTTTATGATTTGAGTAATTCATATATTTTTTCTTAACTCCATTATAACATTTATTCAACTCATAATCCCGTAAGACAATATTATAATGTTTTCACTGATATTTAATTTGGATTTAAATTTTTCATCTCTATTTCTTTAATGATTAAAATAAACAGCTGTAAGCTGCGTTAGTCGTGAGAAATATATAATACTATGAACATATAAACACATTTTAAAACAGTTTTTAATATTTAGATATTATATAACAAATAGAAGAAGTAGAGATATCAAATTGCATACTTACACTAAAGTTGAAAAAATATTACATTCTAGAACAAAAGTTTTTTAACATGAATATCTTATAAACAATGAAATATTAATATAAAAAGTAACTGAAACAAGACAGTTTAATGAACAGGTTGTATTTCATAATCATGATCCATGTAATGTTAAAATATTAAAAACAGTCAAACAAACGAATCATGTTTATCTTTTACAGTTCCCGGTGTTACGCCTTCGTTAGTACATAATTTAAATGGCAGGAAATAGAGGAGATTGATTGAGTGTAAGTTTAGTACTTAATTTATTGAACGAGTTGAATAAAATCACATTATGGCGAGCATAATATCATTTTACACAACGAATTCAATAAATAGTATTAAACTTACACGAATTTAATATTGTATTTATCACATTCCAAAAATACAGACCGTTTAAAGTAAAAAGAACCATTTTTCTTTGACGCGCCTATAGTAAAAAGCTACTATTTAGCGCGTCTTAACGCAATCTTTATATACAGAAAAGGACGTCACGTCAAAATATATGCACGGTCGTGCAATACCATTTTTACGGAGTCCTAAAAGAGGCATTGGTACGTGATAAATTGCATTACGTTAAACTTGTTTCATGTACAAAAATAAACGTTATGATCTTGCAAAATATAAAATACTTTTACCGTGTAATTTAATATCTGGTACCATATTTGCAATCAAATTTGGCATTATTTAGCCAATTAATACCTACAATAATTATATAATTAAAATCAAAACGTTTTTTTTCTTTCCACAAGGGATCTGACAGAAACATAAATAATGATAAAAAGAAAGAAAACAAATTTGAAAACATTGTACAACATTTGATTTGTTATTGTGAAGTTAACTCTTAGATACGTGAACGTTTGTGAAATAAGGTGATAGTAATTAATGGTCACTGTGAGAACAAATTATTCGTTCTGTAAACGCTGTCTGAACAGTTCGATTATATCCTAAGGTTAGCTGTAACAATTGATAGGGACATGTTTAAACATGTACAGTATACTATATGTTTTTGAAAATTGTTCAAATAGTGTGATATAGAACAAATATTTTGTTACCAAATATTTTTCTTTACAATAAATAAATATCAAGAAAATAAAGCCAGAAGAAGCAATAATGATAAAAAACAACAACAATAATAAAATAAGTTCAAGAACAACTACTTTAAGAATTATGTTCTGTAAATTCCTAGACGCAACAGAAAAACATGTAATTTAATTCAAATTAATTTTTAAATGATAAAAAAGACCCCCGGCCCAAAAATACAACGTAATAACTATACAATATAACATCATATGTTTAAGGTTGTGTCATGTTATTATTCATTTCATGTTTCATAATGACATGTACAAAAATGCAACCGAGCTTATTTTTTCATCATCGTCATCATCATCATCATCATCATCATCATCATCATCATCATCATCATCATCAGAACACTGCATTAAATAACAAGAAACCTACGTATTCAAATCTACCATAATACCAGTTTGATAAAAAATGTTGTCGCTCATGTCTGTATTTAAAACATTTAAAGAAATTCATCTTCAAGACATCGTGTATCAAAATAACCATTACACTATTGACAATAACAATTTTCTCTTGGAAGACCAAGTTGACGTCCATTTTCAATTAAAAACCTATGACTTGAACGACAGAATTTTGCAAATGCTTTTTTTTATATAAAATGGTTAATTGAAACATAAATATCTTTCAGGATTAATCATAGTCTTGAATTGTTTATGTGTATCACAACGAGACGAATCAATTTACTTGTTGATACCAGTGTTACAATTCAATTAAGTCTTTGTTTAAAACAAAACAGAAAAACATTAATATCACCAAGAGTTTGATTTAACCAAGCAAATCCAAAGCCATATCCATGTTACACAATTTTAATAGAAGATGTCCAATCAATACTACCTACACTAACCTTTTGTTTCAACATAAAATAACAATTCCTTGGATATTTATTTTTCAGACAGACATAAAAAAGTTTGATCCAGTATCTAATATATTTGATACAATGATCAATACACAATGGAAGTCTGTCTCATCTCCCCAAAGCTTCACAATCATTTAAAGAAGTATTGACACCCAAGAAATCGTTACAATACTAATATTGAATCTGAACATGCTCTAAAATTTCCGAATATTCAGTACCATACATGTTTCCGCTCCATAAGTGAGAATAGGTTTGATCAAAAATAGATTTTTCGCTTTTGCTATAGACCAATAAAGTTTCGGTGTAAAAAATAATCCCATATATTTGTAACAAGATGTAGTATTTACAGTTACACACACATATATATATATGACCAAAGTTCAATTGACCTTATTTGACCGCCATTTCTAAACTTAACACGATTATTTGGGTTTTCGACTGATTTATAGTCATACATGTATTATTACGAAATTTTGCAATGGTATTTAATTGTAATATCATTTTGCTGTTTCAGCGCAATTTGCAAAGTCATCTGCAAAAAGAATACAAAATATATCATGCATTTGATTCGAAACGAAAATGCATCGATGACCTTTTGTTCGTAGGAACGAGATAACTCATTAATATTGAGATTGAAAAAATAGTGTAGTAGTTACGTCCCCTTGTATAAACGGCTTTGTTACTCTGTTAGCTTCTACTCTGACAAAACCGCGTAGATTTAAATACATAGATATAAATACGCGCAAGATATTCCCCTAACCCTTACATATTGTAAACAATTAAACAATTTGTGATATTATTTACAATCAAAGGCCTTTTGAAAATCAACATACAGAACATAAAATCCACTTTTTTCTTATCTATGTGGTATCGATTTGACTTCAAATTAAAATTGCATGAAGTTATTTCACAACTTTAATAATGATAATTAAAAATCTATTCACCTGTAGATAAACTTTACTCTAAATCTTATAAATGTGATACTAGTTGTCTCATACAATAGATGGTTAATAAGTTAACAAATGTATCTGCAGACTCGATTTTTATCTTTTGCGTCTAAGAATTTACAGAAGATAATTCTTAAAGCGGCACGCCTCCAGATTCATGCTTATTTTCATGAAAATGTGTTTAAAAATATTATTCAGTGAAATAACCAAAAGGAAGCAATTTACACGATATCAATGGCACTTAAAACCCACGTAAATTACTAAAAAGAGGACAAAATATGCAAAAATATCCCTTACTGCGTTAATAACGCAGTAGAAATATAGTTAAATACTGAAAAATCGGTCATTAATCGCACATAACATGTAAATTATTACTAGAACTTTGAATCTTTACACTTTTCCTAAAATCTTAGTACATTTTTCTCAGGTTTGATTTTATTGAAATATTTTCGCTCATCTGGAGGCGTGCAGCTTTAAAGTAGTTGTTCTTGAACTTATTTTATTATTGTTGTTATTTTTCATCATTATTGCTTCTAATGGATTTTCTTTCTGATATTTATTTATTGGAAAGAAAAAGTAACAATATTGAAGCTTATTTGGTTAATGATTGACATGCTAATGCCTCTGACAAGAAATCTTACCGAAACGAAATGTAAGAAAACTTATGGCACAACAATACCATAAAATATACACATAGTTTCAATATATTCTTGACCATTTTCACAAATGTTTCATAAGACAAATGTTTATTATATAAATTATGCCAAGTGACACACATACCTGTGTTTGTATATACACATAAACATATACATACACACACAAACATACGCACACACACATAAACATGTTCATGCATTTCCATTTTTTAAACATTTTAATCATTTAATAACATTTATTAATTATAGCTTACTTTTCCATTTTTCATTATCATCACCAGAAAATGACATACATATGTAATTTGATAATTCAATTTTGTTCTCATTATTAAATAATTGATTGAATTTTTAGTATATTTGGATGTCCATAATATGCGTTCACAAACTTTTTCTATCATCAATGAAATGTTTGCATTCCAGTACATAATGAAATTCATCAATATAATTATATGTGAAATAATTTACATTTTCTTTCGGATAATGGAACACTATGCATTTTCCAACCTCAGTTGGCAGTCTACGGTTTCTGCATAGGAATGCTGTCAATGGTTTACAGTTCTTTTTAGGATGAATATTGATATAATAACTTTGCACAAAATTTTCTTTAACAAGATTATAACACTAAGCACTTGTTGTTTATCAAATTGATTTCTTTTTAAATTTGCATCAATTGATCCTTTATCTTTTGGTTACATGACAATGATAACCATTTTACATTTACACCATAGAAGACATCCCAAAACTATCCATAGACATTTTATTCGATTAAATGCCTAACATTTTCAATCCATTTGCGTTTGGCTTGGTTTTGATTAGTGAACATATTGAAATATAAATTACTAGATAAATTTCTGGATTCAACATTTTGTAACCTATTCAAAAAAGTAATAGCTCTAGATTCAAACGCTCATTTGATAGCATTAATCAAAACAAAATAATCACGTAACGAATGCATTAAAACATTAAAATACCTTATTACCGAGACTATTAGGAATAAAATTGTGTGTTTTTGGTGTCACTAAGAAACGTTCATCATCAAGGTCAGTATCATTTAATTCATACCGATACCACTGTCTTTGTCAAACATAGCTACAATTTTGTTTCGATTGTAAAAATTTACGTCGTATATAGAAACAATTGAAGTAGGATCTAATGTAAAATGTGATCCATGGCCTGGAATATATGTTTCTGATCCAATGCATGGAAAACATTTTTCTTCGTAAAGAATTGGATCTCTGTAGTCAAATGTTTGCTTGATCGGAGCAAATGTATCTGCATGTGTGTCTTCAGCTCGCTCATTGGTTCTAGATGAAGGATAATAGTCGTTTGCTTCCTCGTTAGTTTCTAGATCATCACTTTCTACCGGGCCTTTAAAAACAAATGTAATAATTATATAAACATTGACTGAACAAATGAAAAACAAAGCAGACGTGTGTTTTAATGAATAGTGTTGAATCGGTAAAATATGATCGCAAGCCATAATTTTGAAAATTTTGATTATTTGTTTGCTTTTTTTGTTTTGTTTAACGGCGACCTGATACATAACTGATCACACAGCGCCAAAAACAATAATAAATAAGTAGGCCTGACTGACAAAAGTTGGTACAATCTTAGAATACATGTTTAATATTGGTAATCGATAAGGGTATGAAGAAAGTTCCTTAGGTAATTTGTCTCGGTGAAATATATCACGAACATGTGAAAGCAGTAGGAAAAGCTTGACAGTAAAATATTCATTGCAAGCTAATCATCTTCTGTTAAAAAGTAAGAAATTGTAACTTTAATATATCCAATATAACTACAACAATGAAAAACAACATAATCATGACAGATGAGGAGGGACATAAATGGTAATTCATCAAGACAAATGTTAATATTTTGTTAAATACAGTTTTGTCCAAATTTCCATTCAGATGAGGGTTTAAATCATCACTATTTGGTAATGATTAATCAACTGGTTTCGAGTAAAGGATTATTTAGCGACAGAATGTACTTTTACGCTTCCTTGCATTCATACGTGGCTTGGGATCCGACATAATTTCTCGATCTGTTTTTGAAACAGCATTATATCGCAAAGGAGTTTTACAATCATATTATTATCTGATTTTTTGATGATTTTTAATTGATAATAACACGAAGAGTAAATCCGAAAAAAAAATACAATTTAATTACTGTATGATTATTCTAGACTGCTGTGAAAATAGATGCAGTCAGTCTTACTCGGGATGTAAAATGATTCTTAAAGACGAATGTACCTACTTTTCAAACTACTTATAAAGCAGTCCATGTAAGTTAATAAATCTTTAAGTTCTTTGAATTTTCAAAAGTGTTCTTTGACAATTTTGAGATAATTGGATGCCTATTGACAATAATAGAATTTAACTTCTTCGGCATTTGGGGTGCACTCGGGCATTTTGAAGTTTTTTGAGTTTTCTTACTTTTTTTCTCAAAAGCCTAATGATTTATTCATCTTTTTCTTGTTAAAAATATTACTATAATGTGGCTTAAAATAAGTTTTCTATCGAGAACGTTATTGCAATTTGGTGTCATTCTAGCTGCATATTGAAGTAAAAGCTTTTTTCGACGTATATGAAGAGAGTTCTTCTGCTTCAGTATAAACACTTTCTACCGCCGATGCTCGAGATACATGTAATGCTAAACGAAGGCCTTGATGATGCATTGTACCGAGCATTTGTTAATACGATTTCTTATTCTGACCGTAAACTATAGAACCATAATCTAATTTTGACCTGATTAGATTTCAATAAAGTAGAAGAGTTTGATTCCCCTAATTACTCGTAGTGCTAGACAAAACCTTTGAGAAATTTAAAGAACTCAATTTTTATATCATATATATATAAGGCTCAATGAAGATTTATCAATATTATAGGTTCCAAAAAGTTTTATTTGTAAAGATATTACCGAATACACATTTCATCTTATTAAAGGGAGAAATTTATTTTCTATAAAGTCCAAGTCAGTTTTCTCAATAACAAATTAATGTTTATATTTTATTGATTAGATATAATGTCTACAAATATTTGCAGTACACATTTTAATTTTTTTACATGTTTGAAAATTGTTTGAGAAACATAATTTTATACAAATAAAAATTTCACTTAAGTGAGGTAACAATCTTAATTACATTTAACGCTTTAACGTATTTAGTGACCCTTTATATGTAGAAAAAAGTAGAGTTGTTTCTTCATCCAATATAACTCCAAGAAACTTTACTTCATCAATAACAACTTTGGAACCGGATATGTAATATTAATGTTCTATTTCTAAGTTGTGGAGGTGGAGGTGGTGGTGTGCGTGTGTGTTTGATTGTGGTAAATGAAACAAGTATGAAAACAATTACCTGCAATTAATGCGTTATTTTCCTTTTCTTTGAGTGCTATATCTTCCAAAAGGTCTCGGCGTATGTTAATGTTTTCGTTAATATCTGCAATCATGGAACTTTTTTGCTCCAAAAGGGAGATTTGGACAACTAGAACATTATTCGCTTTTTTCAACTCCTCGTTTTCATTCATTAATCTGACATTTTCCGAAGGATTAACAAACTTGACTAAAGGATTATCAAAATCAGCAATAATTTCTGTCTGCTTGCTACCTGCACTGTCAGCTTTTTGTATTTTTAAATCACGCCTTTCGCTTGACCACGGCAGCCGAGGTGGAATAGGTGGTGCATTCAATTCATATTGCTCATATTCTGAGTCACTTTGAATTGAATTTTCAGTTTCAAGTGAGTTTGTCAGAGGCGGAATGTTGTATGTAGATTGTACTGTATCGTCGTAGGTGTATTCATCTGTAGTAATAATATTGAAACGTCGAAAGTGTTCATACAGTAATCAGGCATCAAGGTTATCTATGCTAAATGGACGGGAAGACGTAACTAACAAATAAAAATATACATGCAATAGCCGTAAAATGATTCAAATAATGCATTTAAAGATATAGTATGCTCAAATTTGAGAAAATATTGATAATTGCTACACAGTCTCTTTGTAAATATAAACATTTTTGACTTCACACAAAGCTAGTGTGTTATGTTTAAAATTCTAAACACAATATATAGTGTCATTATAAAAAACTGACAGTTTTGTGTCGCCTTGAAAAGTCGGTATATTGGGGATACTTGTGTTGGTTTCGTCGGCGGCGTCCCGTTACGTTTGTACGGAGCATAACTCAGTCATTGCGTCGGATTGACACCAAACTTAGTATACTTCCATATTTTGATGACCCGAAGTGCAGTCCATAACAAGGGCGACATTGTCGCAAAATACGCCCGTTACAAAAGCTTTTGTCAGGGATGTGGGCATTATTAATATGCATATAGACGATATGCTCTGGGCAAAATCCGGACAATTTCTTGATATTTTATCATCTCTAGTGACCTTGACTTTGCAAATATTAACCTAAATTACATGTGTCACACTTGTTAATATGATAGTTATCACCTGTGTTACAATCCATCAATAAATGATGACTTAATGGTCCCCGTACACAAACATACCTCTATATGTGACCTTGACTTTGGTAGCAATGACCTGGATTATGTGCGCAATACTTAGCTTCACAATGGTAGTCATGATAGTGACCATTAATGTGTGTGAATCCCTCAATTAATGATGACTTAATGGTCCAAATACCCATTATAATATTTTTATCTAAACTTTGACCCCTATATGTGAATTTGACCTTGGTCGCAGGGACCTTAATTCTGTACGCAACACTCTGTCTGACTATGGTGAACATTTGTGCTAATTATATTGAAATCCCTATATGCATGTAGAAGTTTTGCTCCGGACAAGCATTTTTCAATGGCCTCTGAGTGTGACCTTGTCCTTTAATCTAGCCTATGCGCATGACACTGCCTCTCATAGTGGTTAACATATCTATGAAGTTTCATTAGAATCCCTCTATATGTGTAGGAGATATGCTCTGAACAAAATCTCTATATTTTATCACCTTTAGTAACCTTGATCTTGCATATATTAATCTTTATTACATGCTTTAAACCCGTAGTCATGATAAAGTCCATTTATGTTTCAATTTCTCAATAAATGATGACTAAATGGTCAGAATATACATTTTCATATTTTATCTGAACTTTAACCCCTATGTGTGACCTTGACCTTTGCCACAGGGACCTAAGTTTTACATTAGACAATGGTGAACATTTGTGCCAAGTTATACTAATATCCCCTTTGCATTTAGAAGCTTTGCTCCGGAAAAGCGTTATTTTATAACCTCTAAGTGTGAGCTTGACCTTTAACCTAGGGACCTGTTTCATGTGCATGACACTGCTTCTCATAATGTTGAACATTTCTATGAAGTTTCATAAGGATCCCTCTATTTATGAAGGAGATATGCTTTTGACAAAATCTCTATATTTTATCACCTTTAGTGACCTTGACCTTGCATATATTAACCTAAATTACATGTTTCAAACCAGTTGTCATGATAATAACAATTTGCGTTTCAAACCCTCAATAAATGATGACTAAATGGTCGGAATACACATTTTCATATTTCATCTGAACTTTGACCCCATTGTGTGACATGTAGCTTGGCCGCCGCAGGGACCTAGAATTATGCATGATAAACATTTGTGCCAAGTTATATTGAAATCCCTATATGCGTGTAGAAATAGTGCTCCGGACAAGCGTTTTTCAATGACCTCAAAGTGTGACCCTGACATTTGATCTAGAGACTAGGTTCATATGCGCGTCACTCCTTCCCTTAGTGGTGAAAATTTTTATGAAGTTTCATTGAAACTTCCTCAATATGTGTAGGAGATATGCTCCTGACAAAAATTGGACGCCGCCCGCCCAGCTGGCCGCTCGCCAATGGGAAAACTATAATACGACCTATTTTTTAAACGGGAGTTCAAAGTTGTTACCCTGTACCTTTTATTTTTTGAGTTATTGCTCTTTGTTCATTTTCATCCTTAATTATGTCAGGGCCATTTCTCCTAAACTATAATAGCTATGGACTTTAAATGTCATGCAATGATAGATCTCATTGAGAAGAATTGCAGTGCACATGAACCGGTAATCTGTACCTAATGATATTTTAGTTATGCCCATTGTGAATTTTCATATTTTTATTTTTATCCGTGCAAATTCTGATACACTTTAAAAGCTGTTGACTTGAAACTTCATAGGGTGATGGATCTGATTGAGAAGAAGCGCAGTGCACAAGAGCTTGTATCATGCACTTTATGATTTTAAGTTATTGCACTTTGTTCTTTTTCATAATTTTATTTTGTTCGAGCCATTTCTCCTTAAATATAAAAGCTATGGACTTGAAACTTCAAAGGTTGATAAATTTCATTAAGAAAAAGATCAGTGCAGAAGAACTGGTACTCTTCACTTCATGATTTTCACTTATTGCCTTATGTTAATTTTCATACTTAATAGGCTTGTCCAAAGAATACCTTTGTCACTAAAAGTTTGCTTTACTCTAAACGTTTTATTGTCGTGAAGTGCAGTGCACAAAATCCATCACATAGTCCTCCATTTGATCTGTCAGTGTAAACTTTTGTCATAGTATTTTTGTTCTTGATAATATAACAGTTTTATTAATCCCGACTAACATTGTTACAATCAGTTCAAATGCCAGTGAAGTAAAGGTACGTGTAAATTGCAAAAGCAGTGCTCATAAATAATCTATATTTAAGAAAAAATGCCTAATTGACAGCTAAACTGTTGACAAGGTGACACATTCGACTCGCGGATTTCTGGTTTTAAAAAATACCAACTTCACTTCACCAATAATTAGTAACCCAGCCCATATATAATTTATCTTTTATTCAAATTTGAAATACTTATTAGGAAGAATTAAAAAAATTACAATACATTTCTGTCATTAAGATATTTTACTGAAGTATATCTTTAAATGCAGATATTGAACGAACCTCCAATGTTTTTACTTTGCAGTTTCTTTATTTCTATCAAATTATAAGGCACTTTTCTCTTTTGCAAGGTTATCTGTTCTTGAAAACGTAGTATATATTCATTAAAAGGTGTAAGCTATTACAGTTACATGAATTTAAAAGAAATAATCCAACGTTGTTTTTCTGTCAATATGGCCAATTATTGTCCCAAAAATTGTAAAATTTATAAAACAAAAAAGATTTGATTCTTACAAAACAAAAATTTTCAGAATCGGTTTAAAACTTTAAAAATTATGTGGAAAGACCTTTTTCTATTCACGAGAAAACAGTAAACAACTAATGTTTCTTACGGCTTTAAAAAACATAAACAATAAATATGTTCTATTCCTTTGTTCTTTATCTTAATAGAAAGAATCTTCATTCAACGTTTATCAAATAAGTAATGTTAATTATCATTACCAGTATCTTGCTGTTTATCTATCACATGTGCATTCGCGCTGTACGCATAGTCATATTTTTCATCCGAATTACCAGCACGAACAGGAGGCAGAGGTAACCTTTTCCTTTGCGTAACCATTTTCTCTCCTTTACTTTCATCACATTGTTTGTCTGATAAAACACTTAAACTGTTAAAAAAATCTCAGATATCTCAAATATACTTATGTTTATATTTGATCTAGATATTGATAAAGTATTGATAATTCCTAATACATGTACAGTGTGACGAGTTTTTATTTATTTCATGACATTTATAAGAGTTATGTTATCCTCTCATTCCAATCTGACATAAAACAAAAGGAGAAGCATTTTGAGGACGATAAAATGTACAATATGGCATTTTTATGTGTTTACGGAAAAACTCCAACAAAAAATATTTCGCATCTTGGATCTTAAGATCTTTTCTATTAATTTCCGGCATTGTTGTTGTAATTTAAAACCAATGATTGTCCGTTTCTCTGTAATTTCGAAAAGGTGTGAATTAATATGAAAATATAACCAGTCTTGCATAAATAATAGGGCAACCCAGTAATATGGTACTGATCACTCCTGTGAAGGTTCATTGAAATCCCGCCAGCAGTTTGACCAGCGACAGCTTTGGGGGTCATTTTGGGCAGCGTGCCGGCGATATGCACGCATAAAAATTGTAATGATCATTCCCGTAATATTTTATTAAAATCCTTCCAGCTGTTTGACATGTGAAGGCCGGACAAATTTTTCTTTCTATTTTTAGCTCTATAGCCGTTGATGTTGCGAAGCGAAACGTCCCGGCGATAACAGCAACCTTGGATGTAACTGAGGACTCCAGTGAAGTTTAATTGAAATCCCGCCATCAGTTTGACTTGTTAATGCAGGATAAGATTTTTCTAATACAGTATTTTTAAGTACAGCGAGGTGAAATATGCCAGCGATATGTACAACAAGGGATGGTACTGATCACCTGTGAAATTTGGCTGAAGTCCAGTCAGCAGTTTGTCCTGTGGAAGCCGGACAAGCTTAACGCGAAGTCACAAGCAATGTCTTAAAATAAATTGGGATACAAAATGAATATTAATAACATATCTCATTTATTTTCATTGGGTCGAGGCTTGCCGAGTTACCATCTATTGTTGGATTACCGAAGGACGGATATTCCGGTCTGAACTGTAAACATCTGTCAGATATTTTCCTTGAATATTTTGTCACCTATTATTTTTTACATCAATAAAACAAAAAGAAAAAACAAATGAAATTCTTGTATTTTTATCCAAACTGGATTATTAACGTGGTTCATTCTAATGCAGTAAATGACGTCAGTGTATAGAACGCGTCTCATCTGGCACTACAAAGCAAGATGAAATTTCAGGCAATGGTTTGTACTAACGAAAAAGCTAGTTTTGTAAAAAAAGAAACACCGGTAGATATGGTCATCATGGAATGTAAATTTATTGTTGTAAATTATTGTAAAATTTCATTCGTATTAAATCACCAATAATCTTATTTATAATGTTAAACAAAGTCACTATATGTTAAGATGGATTGTCAAAATAGAATTCTGAGTAAGAGAAGTAGCTAGGGAACAGAAAAACTAATTTTAAAGTGCTGTACAAACAAAAGAGAACAAGAGTAATACTAAATGTCATTGCAGTCAGGATCGGAATATCTGATAACTGATATATTTCTTGCATGTTATACCAATGTTATACAAATTTTAAATTACATGTAAAAGTTAAAATTCTTTATCTCAGTTATACAATTTTTCATGAACATAAATGTCATTTCATACGTGACCATTGTCGTACAAAAACGTATGAATTTACAACATAATTCATAACGATGAAATGCTGCCAACCTAAACACAGAGTTTTATTCTAAAGCATGCTAAACACGCAACAAGTTTAGCGTTGGTTATTCATAAGATGGATATTATGTTTACAATAATAAAGGTTTTGGTATTTCACTTGGAGTTGGCAAATTAAAAATTAGACATTCATAGGAACGTGTTTTAAAATATGTGTAAAAAGTCGTAGAAAAATCAAAGATAAGGTTATATAGATATTTGACTATAAGATTATGTAAATAGGATATAATTCAATAAGTTGATATGTATTTATAACAAAGGAAAAGAAATAATCTTTATAGTCAATATATGACAATACTTCGTTGTATCTTAGCAGTGTAATATGTTCACTGTTAAGACTATTATGATGGAAAACATTATAATATAATGACACTTACAGAGTTCGAAATTCTTTGTCCTTTTGCTTTCTAAGAGCGCTGGTATCTCCAGGCATTTTGCCACTTCGTCCATTCCTGCTTCGTTAAGGGCTTCAATAAATAGCAAGTACCAATTGCGATGCTTACGATGGATTCTGTCGAGTAGTAAAACTGCGGCTGCAAAGTTACCACGGTTGGCATCTTCCTTTTGAATATGTTCTTTATCACTTTCACTTATTAACTTTTTAGCGTAAACAAAAGAAATGATTTCGCAGACTGTAATCATAGATCCGATTTTCGGAGTAATGTTTTTAATATACTCTCTTTGATAAAAATGGTTGATAAACTTGTAACCCCTGATATTATCGACGATGTACGAGTACCCTGTATTAATGAAGAAAGCCTTGAAGTAAGTAAAATGTCAACAAGTTAGAAAAGGTTGACAAATTATTTTAAGAACTTCGTTGAGGTTTAAAAGCATTAAAACATAAAAATTTTATTTCTTACATCGACAGTCATTTTTTTTACAGATATCATATGTGCAGTTGTACAGGAAGATTAAAAATGATAATGCAATATACGGACATAGATTGAAAATAATTTTGTTCGGGTGTTTCTTATCAAGATTTGAGTTAAAAGCATTTATTAGTGTTTTCATATTTTGTGTTCATTTTTTTTCACAATTGATATATAATTGTTCCGGAAAAATGGAAATAGCTATGGATCAGAAGCTTTGAATGTAGACCAAAATCAAACTCAAAGTTTTTTGGCACAAAAAACAAATGTCTCCCTAAACAAAGTATGGTACTCATGACTCCTTTGATAAGTGGTCGAAATCTCGCCTGGGGTCAGATATATTAGGCAAAGGTCTTTCTATTTGTAGCTCTTGTGGCCATTTAATGCAGTGAAGCAAAACATGCCGTCGATATAAATTACTAGGGGCGATATCAATCACTTCTGTAAAGTTTTATTGAAATCCTACAAGCAGTTTGACCTGTGCAAATCGGAAAGATTTTTCTACCTATACTTCTTACGGCCATTTTGTACAGCAAAGTGAAACGTACCGAAGATATGCACAACTAAGGATGATACTGATCACTCTTGTGAAGATATTTGAAATCCCACCAGCAGATTGACCTGCGAAAGCCTGATAAGATTGTTCTATTCAAATATCTGGCGTCAATTTTGTGCACTGAAACAGAACTTGCCAGCGATATGCACAATAAGGGATGATTCTCATCACTTATGTTAAGTTCTCTTGAATGAACAGACGGACAGACAGACAGACGGCGAAGACAAAAACAATATATCCACCAAAGGTTTTTGGAGACTTGGTGCTATATAATTAAATTCCAAGTCCAGTTATTTTCGTAAACCATAGATGAGTCCCATTATCATACCAATGAACCGAACAGTTCCTTATGATAATCCTTTTTACCTTAGCGTAAATTTGAAAACTTTAGCTATTTTATGTATTCAAAATATTTTGTCATGTTACCATTATCAGATAAGGCATTGATAAATTTATCCCACTTTCCGAGTTCTTGACAATTCTCTAATTCATCTAACAGGATCAGTACAGCTGATTTTTCGGAACGATTCTTCAGTTCACAATATATATCGTCATGATTATCTATATATAAAAGAAAAAAAGCTTTTCATTTAAGTTACTGTTTTTCAGATTTTACAGACGTGGTTATAATGCAAAGTTACATTTGCAAAAACAAAAAAATAAATAAAAATCGGAAATAAAAAATGAAAATGGGCGATTACTACAAAAATAATTGACAGGAAATAATAGAAACCATGCAGTGAACTTGATCGCCACATCAGAGTTGTTTGTGCCGTGTGGAGGCTGTAAAAAGTCGTCCTGTACATTCAATCAGGTAAGTTATAGTTCCGATCCTTATTGATCGTTCAACGCGACATAATTGTTGTGTTTGAGTTTGTTATTTTTTCGTTTCAACCTTTTGGCAATTTTCGATTTGGATTTTTTTCTAATATTCATACTTGAATAATATTTAATCATCCTAAGGATATATTGCCTGCTTTTTAACTTTGTCTTATATAGTCTTATCTTTTATATACAGGCTTCAAAACCTCTGATCCCCTTTCAAAATTCCATTTTGTTTAGTTCCGCCCATTCTTGTCTCGTTTAGGGCACATCCTTTCTATTACTTGGGGACCATACGCCGCTTTCATGGAATGGCACTACTGTGTCACATTGAAGGTTCCATGATAACAGCTGTGTGAACACATCTGTGGATGTTTCTTAATTCAAAAATTTGTCAATTAATGTTTAAATGTTGAATTCTGCTCTAGACGGTGCTTTGGGGCTAGGACGGCAGTTTGCACTTGAACAGGCTCAGTCAAACCGAGCCTGTGACACTTTCAATTTTGACGTCTTGGACTTTCTTTAGGGATTCTTATTTTCTCTATTGTATAGCAATCAATACATCTTTTTTAAACATAGGCAAAAAACCCAAATTACCACTTGACCATTCAACCTAAATGAAAATTAAAGTTTTATTTCTGTCGACTTTGATTACTTTCAGAGAATTATATCAGTTGACTATGAGCCTTAACATTTTCAAAATAAATGCCTGCTATCCAAAATCAAGTTACCCATTTTCTTAATTTATTTGCAATGATTTGAATTACCTTGCTTAAAGTACCCTTGAATATGTTCCAAACCAGTGTAACTGCACGATATTTTAATAATTCACATTCAAGTTCTGTTTCAAGCATAAATTTGCGACAGATAATATTTGAACAAATATTCAATAAAAAGATCATACTACACAACATTCATACAAACAAGTTTTCACTTGAAACAATTGTGCACGAAGCGAAATTGCCGGAAATACTCACTTAACAAACAAACATCGGCCATTCACGTTCACATGAAATTAGTTAACCACAAGTGCTAAAGTGAAGAAAAAAGCAAACCGAGGCATCAACTTTCATGTTACTTTAATAAATGCATTCGAGAGATCATCCTTACTCTTCTTTCTTTTGCAGAAAATAAAACATAAAATAAAACATTTGAAAAAATAAGACACATTTATTAATACAAACCTAGAAATGGTAAAGAAGGTAATATGTCATGGACAAGCAGATTCTGCACGATCAATGGCTTGAATATTCTAACCTTCTCACTGTATTCTAAACATCTAGTTTTATCTGCTGTTATACTTTCACTGTCATCTGTTTTCATGTGTCCTTTTCGCCCTTTACCATGCGTATTATTTGAAGCATCTCTTGTTTGTTGTGATTGCATAATTGGACCTTTATAACAATCAGCCTAAGACATACTCATAAAATTCAATCAAGACAATTCCTCATGTATGCTTTTCAGTACGAATTTTATCTTATTGTATTAACAGAAAATGAAGTTAAAATGTTGCTGAATCTAATTCTGAGAGCACCGATGTTAGCAGAAATGAATCAACAAGAGAAACAGTACTGACTATACTGAGCATGTACAAATGAAAATGCTAGAATTTGATCATTGGACACTTATATGAATGCTACTTTTTAATTTGCTGTACCAGTGCCAATGGCATTCTTACATACGCATGCATATTTCATTGAAGTCCAGCATTCATTGAGGTCAAGGTCACTGTGACACAAAAAATTGTGTAATCAAGAACAAAAAATATGCCCAATACTACAGTTTGTAACAGTTTGAAAATGAAATGGATACTTGAGCTTTTTATTATTTTTATTTTTATATTCAAAGTTAATATTTATAATGGTGTTGAAAAATATACACTTTGAGATTGTCACCAGTGTAGCTGCATTTGCTTAGAAGATGTGAATTCTGCAAACTGTTAACTCCGGCCCTTGATAAACAGCTCGTTAAACAACTCCTTGCCCTTTTCTACCTTTTAATTCTCAGATCAGTGTTCTTTTGCAAAACTGAATGTAACTTTGGCGGGCTGAACGGTGAATACAAATGCACTGACCCAAAAATGATAATAATGAAATTATAAGTAAATCACGACAAAGAAGAAACTTGCTTTTCTTGCAAATCAGCAACCGGCATTTAAATACAGTTGACTCTCAATAAGTCAAAATCGCTTTACTCAAAATTCCGCGTTAGTCGAAGAATTTCTAAAGTCCCGTCAAATTTCCTTCTTTATCTTTGTATTTTAACTCCGCTTAGGTCAAATTTTGACTTACCGAGACTCCTGTTTAGTCGAAAAGAAAATTTGGTCCCGTCAATTAAAGTCCAACATATTTTCATCTCAATTAGCCGAAGTGTGAAAACAGCCGACTGATCAAAGGTCGGCGACATCAAGTTGAGATGATGTCACTGGTTATTCACACGTTTCTTGGTTATTTTAATTGCCGGTCATCATGTATTATTAGCACGTCGTGAAAGTGGCTTTAATCGGATTCAGGACTTAATTGGTTTTAACAGTTAGATAAGTAAATTAAGATTTAATTAATTTAATTGTACCAGCCTAGGTATTGATGCGTGTTTTCAACGTAAATGACATTTTTATAATTAATTTTCCGTCATATTGCATACATTAATATGTACTTCCGGTTCACGATAGTTGCTACTTTCGTTTTCGTCCGATGATCAATTTACTTCAAACATTAGATATATTGTTGTTGAAATAAATGTGTTATTGTGCTTTTATTGTAATAAATTATCATGAGTGTGTATTAAAAGCATGTGCATTACTGATGGATACTGACAAACTTGCATTTATGTCATTGCTACGAATGCTTGTGTTTATATTTCACTTTTAATATACATGTATTAAATTTTGAATAATATATTTTTGTTCATTTATTATTTGTATTTGTATGTGATTTACAGTCATTTCAAATGTTAAATGTTGCAGCATTGCCGCTATCAACAATAACAAACCTACTTCTTTGCACATTCAATCAGGTACATGTATATACATGTACGAATGTCAACGTAATGGCGGCAGATCCACGTTACTCGAATTCCGTTTCTCTCGAAGTAAAATGCCCAGTCCCTTGGATTTCGAGTTATTGTACTGTGTTAGGCGCGAAAATGGTCGGTAAATTGATTCACTTCCCCTTATTTACAAGTATATTTTATGTTCACTTCGCTTAAACGAATAAATGAATAAAGTAAAGGCACCTAAATGTTATAAAATACAGCTACATATTATTATCTTCTCATTTAAAAAACTTTGCTACAAATGCTGTCTCTGTTTCATGCATACTTTATCAATATTGTGTACTCATAAGTCGATTTACCTTATCCGAAGTGTCAGTCTGACAATTATATTCTTTCTTTGATTCATCTTGGTTTTCTTTTGCTTCACTTTCATTTATTGTTAAATTATTCATCAAGCCTGTGTGATGGTTTTCATGCACGGTATCTGTTAAAATAACAATAGAAATAAAATTGTTATTTCAATTGATACTTCAGAAATTGAGAGATGCAGAAAAAATGCAATTCTTAAACATTATTAAAATACACATTACCAGAACAGTTGAGACAATAGTAAACTTACCAGTACCAGAATAGTTTTGTGCCGAGTCTGGAAGTAAAGCAGGGATTTGAAGGTCCATGGCAACCTCATTCATACCTGCTTCTTGTAAAGCCTCTATAAAAAGAACATACCAGTTGTGATGTGTTTCGTTTTCCAGTAATCTTTTAAGCAAAACACTTGCACCTGCATAACTACTACAGTTTACAGACTTGTTTTCAATTTCTTCCATGTCGCATCTTGCAATAAGTCCTTTACGAAGAAGATTTGGAAGAACTTTGCATGGAGAAATCATTTTGCCTATTTTTGGAATAAGTTTTTCTACATATTCTCTCTGGTATTCATGACTTATAACCTTATAGCCCTGAATGTTGTCAACTATATACGTGTATCCTGCAAAAATACATAGTCAAAGAGAATATATACAGACATAACTTACAAATAATGATATTAAATAATATTCTAAAATGATAATGCGTATACTCAATACGGTCAGAAATCTTTTTGAACTTCCGAATATGTATACCCCCGAAACGATGTTTGGGGGGGTATATAGGAGTCACTCGGTGGTGGGTCGGTGGGTTGGTTAGTCGGTCGGTCGGTCCAGCGGTCTGTTGCATTTTCATTGTTCGGAGCATAACTTGAAGACTAATGGTTGGAATTTAGTACAGCTTCATACAATGGTCAAGCACATTGAGAGAAAGTGCAGTGCACAAGAGCCATAACTCTGTATTCACTGATTACAGAGTAATTTGCCTTTGTTACTCTTCCTTGTCTGAAGCATAACTTGAAAACTATTACTTGGAATCCAAATCAACTTCATACAATGGTCAAGCACAATAAGAAGAAGTGCTGTGCACAAGAACCATAACTATATCTAAAGTAATTACATACTTATTGCACTTTGTTACTTTTCCAATGTTTTTTTTTTGTCCGGAGCATAACTTGAAGACTAATGGTTGGAATTCAATACAACTTCTTTCAATGATCAAGCACATGAAGAGGAAGTGCAGTGCACAAAAAACACCATTTTGACAAATTACAAAGTAACTGTCTTTGATACTTTTCCTTGTCCGGAGCATAACTTGAAAAATACTGGTTGGTATTCAAAACAACTTCATACAATGGTTAAGCACAATAAGAGGAGGTGAAGTGCACAAGAACCATAACTCTGTCAAGATATATTATAGAGTTATTGCCTTTTGTTACTTTTCAATTGCTTTTTATTGTCCAGAGCATAATTTGAAAACAACTAGTTGAAATTCAACACAATTTCATACAATGATCAAGTAAATTGAGAGAAAGCGCAGTGCACAGAAACCATAAATCTTTCTTGACCCATTTAAGAGTTTTTGCCCTTGGAAATTTTTTATTGTGTAGTGCATATTTTGAAAATTTGAGGTTGGGATTCAATGAAACTTCATGAAATGGTCATAGACAGTGAGATGAAGTGCAGTGCACAAGAAACATTACTCTATTTGGACTAATTACAGTTATCGTCCTTTGTTACTATTTTGTCCAGTGCATAACTTGAAAACTAGTAGTTGAAATTCAATACAATTTCATACAATGGTCAAGCGCAATGACAGGAGGTGCAGTGTACAATAAACATAACTACATATTCAGTATTTAAAGATTTATTGTACTTTGTTCCTGCTTAAGAAGCGTAACTTCTTCTGGGCTTATTACAGATTAATTCAATAAAAATTCATCAATGGCCAACCGCATTGAAAGGAAATGCAACATACAAGAACCACAACTATCTTTAATTTCCAACAACCATAACTGTATTTCAATTCTTATGCAAGGTTTTATGTTACAAGTAATTTTCTCATTTCCGTAGCAGTCTTGCGGGGGTATTATTCTCATTTAGTGATAGTTCTAGTCTGATAAAAAATTCACGTAAGTTGGCACCTAAAGTCTTTTTTAGAAAGATAAATTGTTTAAATGTTCACCCGAGGTACTGAAAATCCATATTAGATTAGGCTGATTCTGTTGAGAGTTGTTTACCGAACCGAGACTAATTTCTATCGGTTTTAAGAATTATATGTCACAGGCAGCCTGACAGGGACTCGAACCCTTACTTTATGTAACATGCCAATTTAATGCTATATTATATAAAATTATGTCAAGTTATTTAGAGTTTTTTTCATATCAAACCATCATTTTATCACCATTTGACAAGGAGTAACTCTAAGAATTATACCATGAAAGTCTTTGAATGAAAGCCTTATTTTTGCCACTGCCAACGATGGCTACGTTTTAAGAAGCTTGGGATGATATTAGCAACATCGCAAAAGATGAACCGTTTAAACTGCCTCATTACATGTAAATAGTAACATTATAGCTCATTGCATTATCATAGCATGTGACCACACTAAATGGATAGGTTAAAAGATATAAGATCAATCGAAATATCCTCAGGAGAATTTGGCATTGAGTAGTCAACTTTTCTGTTGTACATCGTAGTTATATTTTTCTGGTCCTTTGGAATCATTGATACCCCCAGTACGTGTTCAAAATTCCATTTGGTTAGTCCCGCCTATTGTTTACTTGTTTACGGCCCATGTTTTATTACTTGGGGACCATGCGCCACTTATTAAAGAATTGAACTTCTGTGTCACATTGAAGGTTCTAGGCTGACCGTTTTATGAACACATCTGCGTTTTAAAATTCAAAATTTTACCATTACAATTAAACGTTGAATTCTACTTTAGCTGGAGCTAGAGGGATTGGACTGTAGTTTGCAGTTAACACTACCGTACATTAATAGGCTCAAATCGTGCCTGCAACATTTTCAATTTTACCGTGTTGGGCTTTCTTTAGGGGTTCTTGTTTTTTCTCTATTTTGAAGATTTAATACTGCTTAAAATATGATTAACAAGATTAACAAGGAAATGCGGCGTTCAATGAACGCAACGCTTGAACGCTTTAAGCCACGCTTGAAAGATGTTTCTTTGATTTTTATTTTCATAATTGTACAGACTCAATCAAACCGATTTGGAAAGTTTCATACTATCGTTTTGTTTTAGGTGCTTCAAAGGGATCACCTCCTTTAATCCCCCGCCGCCTTTTCGTCCTTCCGTCCGTCCGTCCTTCCGTCCAACATTTTTGTCCGGAGCATATGGATAGACCTCATTGAGGAGGAGTGCAGTGCACAAGAAAGATAACTCTACCCTGCATAATGTTTTAGTTATTGCCCTTTGTTATTTTTCAAACTTAATTTTTCACCTGAGTGGAGCATCACTCAAAAGTATTTGAGATTTCAACATGCAAGTCATTGGTGGATAGATCTTATTGAGGAGGAATGCTGTGCGCAAGTATGATAACTCTTTGCTGTATAATTTTTGAGTTATTGCCCTTTGTTCTTTTTCATACTATTTTGTCGGGAGCATATCTCCAAAAGTATTTGAGGTATCAACTTGAAACTTCATAGGTGCATAGATCTCACTCAGGAAATGTGCAGTGCACAAGAATGATAACTCTACCTTTCATAATTTTTGAGTTATTGCCCTTTGTTATTTTTCATACTTAATTGTCACTCGAGCGGGGCATTTCTCAAAAGTGTTTGCGATGTCAACATGAATTGTCATAGGTGGATAGCTCTTATTGAGGAGGAATGTTGTGCGCAAAAATGATAACTCTTCCCTATATATTTTTTTAGTTATTGCCCTTTGTTACTTTTCATACTTAATTTTTTCACCTGAGTGGAGCATAACTCAAAAGTATTTGAGATTTCAACATGAAATGTCATAGGTGGATAAATCTTATTGAGGAAGAATGCTGTGCACAAGTATGATAACTCTTCGCTGTATAATTTTTGAGTTATTGCCCTTTGTTCTTTTTCATACTATTTTGTCGGGAGCATATCTCCAAAGTATTTGAGGTATCAACTTGAAACTTCATAGGTGTATGGATCTCATTGAGGAGGAGTGCAGTGCACAAGAATGATAACTCTATCCTACATAATTTTTGAGTTATTGCCCTTTGTTATTTTTCAAAATTAATTTTTGTCCAGAGCATAACTTAAAAAGCCTTTCAGATATCAACATGAAACTTCATAGGTGTGTATATATCTCACTCAGGAGATGTGCATTGCACAATAATGATTACTCTACCTTTCATAATTTTTGAGTTATTGCCCTTTGTTATTTTCATACTTAATTTTTCACCAGAGTGGAGCATAACTCAAAAGTGTTTGAGATGTCAACATGAAACGTCATTGGTGGATAGATCTTATTGAGGAGGAATGCTGTGCGCAAAAATGATAATTCTTCCCTATATATTTTTTTTGAGTTATTGCCCTTTGTTCTTTTTCAAACTATTTTGTCCGGAGCTTATCTCAAAAAGTATTTGAGGTATCAACTTGAAACTTCATAGGTGGATAGATTTTACTGAGGAGGGGTGCAGCACACAAGAATGATAACCTACCCTGTACTATTTTTCAGTTATTGGCATTTGTTATTTTCAGCCATCAGTATTCACATAGGTTTCATATCTGTATTCACTTCAGCCATTAGTTTTCATTACCAAAAAACCTCTTAAAATTGAATTATTCTGCTCTACTACATATACATTCTTCCAATGAGCAAACCCGTTCGGCGGGGGATGGCCATGTTGACATGGCTCTTGTTCAGATATATTTTAATCAAATCACTTTCCTGTTTAAATTCCCTTGTCATTGAGTGTGGTGTTATGCTACGTGCCTTTCTTTGAATGCGTCTGTTAGTTGACGGTATAGGAAATTATAAGTCTTGAATATAGAACAGTAAAATTTTGATAATTATTTAGTTATTCAAGAAAAAATCAAAAATACGTGCCGGCAGTCCTTAATGCATCAATAAATTTTTGCCATTTTCCGGGTTCGTCACTTTTCTCCAACTGGTACAATAGGGCCTCCACAGCATTTTTAGGGGATTTTCTTCTTTCTTGATATATATCGTCGTGATTATCTGGTAAAGAAAAAAAAAACGAAATTATCCAGGAATTGTCAATTTATAAATGATTATCTTAAAGGCTTTTATCAAATTTGAATTTAGAAAACTTGTTTATTTTAAATATGGTTGCAATTAGGAACATGACAAGAAACATACCAAGAAATTGTAAAGATGGCAAGACGTCTTCAACATGCACGTTTCGAACAATCAACCTATGGAAGGTTTTCACCATTTCACTATATTCTAAACATGTACTATTCATTTCGTCTTTCGACAGTTTATAAATTGTCTTGTCTGATGCACTATTCATCCGTCGTAACTCCTTAAATAGCAAAAACAAGAATAACGAAAATAATATATGAATAATGAAAGCATAATTGTAATCAAAATGTTACCAAAATTATGGTTTTTACCTGTTTGCAAAAGGTAAAACAACTCTGTACAATCATTTTAATACGCCTGTTTATTATAGTTCCCGCCTGGGGTTGGCGTCATTAAGGTCCCTGTGGCCTAAGTCTCATATTGGGGCCAAAGTTAAGATAAAAATATGAAAATGGGTATTCGGACCATTTAGTCATCATTTATTGAGGGATTGAAACACAAATGGTCATAAACACAAACGTTCTTTATCATAACTACAGGTGTGAAGCATGTAATTAATGTTAATACATGTATATGTAAGGCCAATGCCACTTAAAATGATAAAATAAAGAAATTTTGTCAAGAGCATATCTCCTACAAGCATGATTGGATTCTAATACAACTTAATAGAAATGTTTACCAATGTCCAAGTGTTATCCAGTTCCGTCATTCCGTCATTCCGTTATCATCAGTTTCCGTTCATTATCTTAAGAACAGTTGCACACATTCAACTCAAATTTGACATATGGATATGTCATGAGAAAATACAGGTCAACTTCGAATTTGGTTATGGTTCGATGACTTTTGGCAGAGTAATGCCCCTTTTACTTTGAAAATAATATGAAATTTTCAGTTTCCGTTCATTATCTCCCCAACGGTACATTACATTCAACTCAAACTTGACATATATATATGTCATGAGAAAATTGAGGTCAAGTTCGAATTTGGTCATGGTTTAATGATTTTTGGCAGAGTTATGCCCCTTTTACTTTGAAAATAATATTAAATTTTCAGTTTCCGTTCATTATCTCCTCTAGGATATTACACATTCAACTCAAACTTGACATGGATACGTCAAAGAAATTGGTAAGTCAAGTTTGAATTTTGACATGGTTCAATCATTTTTGGCAGAGTTATGCCCCTTAAACTTTGAAAAAAAGGAAATGTTCAGTTCCCATGCATTATCTCCCGACAGTTGTACATAATTATTCAACTCAAGTTAAAGATATGGATATGTCATAAGAATGCATTGGTCAAATTTAAATTTGGTCATGGTTTGATGATAGCTGACAGAGTTATCCCTCTTGAACTTGGAAAAAAATCAGAAATTTTGAGTTTCCGTTCATTATCTCCCCATTGATTGTACAAATTCAACTCAAATTCATCTTAGGAAAAAGCAGTTCTAGTTTGAATTTGGTCGTGGTTCAATGATTTTGGACAAACTTATCTTTCCTGAATGTTGGAAAAATTTTGAATTTTCAGTTTCAGCAATCATACTTTTGAGGAAATGTATGTAGCTATTATTTTGGCTAGAAATATTCAATATGCATTTTACAAAAGGTTAAGACTGAACAATTTCAGTACCTTGAAAATTGTATAAAAATGGTTTGTGTTATTAACATTGAAAAGTTTTAAGGGCTTTGAACTTAAAATGAAAAAATAATTTGTGCAAACAAATTTGGAACTAAACATTAAAACTGAAATTTTGGCTGCATGCGGGGGCATTTGTGGCATGATGACACATTTCTAGTTATTTAAATGGATCTTACATCGATTAAACTCACGTGATAAGACATTTTAACATGAAAATGGTGAAGATTGGAATTTTGAAACATCCGCAGATGTGTTCATGCGGCGCTTATCATGAAACATTCAATGTGACACGTTTGTCCATTCGATGAAAAGTAAAAAATACATGTGCCCAAAACGAAAAAGCGACGGGGGAAACTAATGGAGAGTTCAACTTAAAACAATAAAATTGGAGCGTGTTTATTTAAGTATAGACACCTACCATATTGCTCATACCAATCATTTATCATATCATTGTATGTTGTATTTAAAATGAGTTTGAGACGCCTACAAAATGTAACAAAAATGAAGTTTCAGCAAACGAACCAGTACCTTATCTTTAACAGTTTTGTTTTCGTCTTCAAGTCCAACCATTTCATTTTCGTTTACCATGTTGTAATGATTCTCATCCTCACAATCATAATCAGTATTAGTTTCATGCGGTATCGCTGGTAGCATACCTGCGAGATAAAATTAAAGAAGTCATTCACCGAAAATATTTCCCGCCAAAAAGGTAAGAAAAAATAAAAGAAGATCAATCATTTTCCCACACTCACGGTTAAATACAAATCAAAGAACGAACAATAACTAAAAAGTTCTAAGACGAAGAATAATAGATTGTATATTACCAAAATGCTTTTTCAAATATTTCTAGAACAAAAACAATGATGTCACAAATGTGATTCATACCCCAACGGCCAC